ATAGATAGATAGATAGATAGATAGATAGATAGATAGATAGATAGATAGATATAGATATAGATATAGATATATGTAAGTATATATACTAGGGAAACATAACTAGGAGGAGAAATACTGTAGTCTTATTGAAGAGGAAATGTACTGGGTGGCAGTGTCCAATCATTATTTCAGAGATCTGAGTAGGAAGGATGCCTCCCACCTCACATCAGAGAAATGGCCAAATACAAATGCAGAATGAAACATCCCCTGTCAGACGTGCTCCAGGGGCTGATTTATTTTGTTTAACTGTAAGAGGGTTAAGAGGAGGAAAGAGTCATTGGGAAGTGACATTGGTTTTTCTTAAGCACCCGTGAAGCATTTTTAAAAATATGAAATAAAATATCCCAGAAAATTGCACTGATAGGACTTCATCTGAGTCTGCAGTAAACTAAATATCCTCATTGACTGCCCTATTACCCTTCCCCTCCTCTCTCAAGATGAAGTAGGTAATATGTGAGAAAGGTACTAAATTAGGCAAAGGAGATGGATAAGAACCTAGAGGCAACTAGGTGGAAATGTGGCTAGGGCATTGGTCCTGGAGTCAGGAAGACATGAGTCTAAATCTAGCCTGACTAGCTCCACTAACTAGATATGTGACCCTAGGCAAGCCAGTTTACCTCTGCCTCAGTTTCCTTATGTGTAAAAAGGGACCAATAATAGCACAGGTTGTGAGGAGACATTTGTAAAACTCTTTGCAAATGTGTTAATGCTAGCTATCATAAAAGTTTAAGTGGTCCCCTTGTCTCAAACTGAACTTTCTTGTTCTGGGCAGCCCAGCTCTATGATTTGTTCCAGCTGAGACAGGAGAACAGCTATTTGATCAATATCACCAAGCAGATCACTCCTTATGTCCGTTCCATTGCTAAGGTGAAGGAACGGTTAGAGCCCAGGTAAGAAGAGGGGATGATGCCTCACCCCTCTTGAACAAGTGTAGCTGCTCGATCTGCAGGTTTAGATTGGCATACGCTTTTGTGCAGGAGGTTATGTAAGATGCAAGGTGGGTGGGGTGGCTTCTAAAACATTATCAGTCAGAAAACTGGCGGGGCCATGCTCCATCTGTATCGGGTGAGATCTTCCACAGGACCGTGGACTTCAGAAAGTACAAAATGTGAGACCACTAGCCCTGCCAGAGAGAGTGGTAATATGTGGTCAGTTTCAGCAGGAAGAATGAAAGGTCTGACAGTCTTGGAAATGTAGCTGGCTCCTCAAGACAGTCCTGGCGACCTGGACAAGGAGGGAATTAATTCACCGCTAGCCGTGTGTTTGTTTAAACTTGTTAGTGCAACATAAAAAGTGAGCTTGCCACCTTTGGCTCTTTCAAAGGGTTACAGTTGAGAGACTTTCTTTCTGACAGATTCCAAGAACCTATTGATGAGCTGTCGGAGAATTTGCAAAAAATATATGAAGACATGGTGGTGATCAGTGAGAATCAAACCAGGTAGATGAAAGGGCTTTTCTGGAGAAAAAGATCAATGAGAAAAGGAGGGTGGCTTTTTTTTCTTTTCTGAATAGTAGTTGAAAAATGTTAAGTTTGGTTAGCAGAATTAAAACTTAGAAAATTCTTAGCAGCGAAGATATCTGGGTAAGAGAGGTAAGCCTGACAATTTGGCTCTTGGCACTTATGAAATTGGGGGCAGCTAGGTGGCGCCATAGTGCATAGAGTGCTGGACCCTAAGTCAGATTCATCTTCCCAAGTTCAAATCCGATCTTAGACACTTACTAGCTGTGTGACCCTGGGCAAGTCACTTAACCTTGTTTACCTCAGTTTTCTTATCTGTAAAATGAGCTAGAGAAGGAATTGGCAAACCATTCCAGTATCTTTGCTAAGAAAACCCCAAATGGGGTCACAAACGGACACAACTGAACAGACTGAATGACAAACTTATGAAACTGATGTGATGCAGTCTCAATTCCTATCCATCCTTTAAGACTTCAGGCAAAAGCCACTTCCCCCAGGATGCCTTTCTGGATGCTCCCCACCCTCTACCTCTTTTAAGTCTATGTTTATTTTGTGTTAGGTCATATGAGCTGGAACAGATCTTACAGGGTATTGGTCTGAATCCTCTCATTGTACCGATGATTCAAGGCACTGAGAGGTTAAGTGATTTGCTCAAGGTCACACAGCTAGGTTCAGCTCTCTTTACCTCTCAAAATATTAGTGTATGTATATCTCCTACTAAGTCCCAGGAGGATCAAGGCTGTCTTATCTAACCTTTACATCTTGCTCCCACTGCCTGGTGGGTGCTTAGTATTACTGATTTGAATAAAATAGTTTAAATTCCCTTAAATGTGAAAAGGAACTTGATTGAAGCTTATTGTTCTAAAACTGACAAAATAATTGCTATGGAAGGGTGAGATGAAATAATGTGCAGAAGGGGCAGCTAGGTGGCACTGTGGATAGAGCTCTGGCCTTGGAGTCAGGAGGACCTGAGTTCAAATCTGGCCTCAGACACATAATACTCACTAGCTGTGTGACTCTGGGCAAGTCATTTAACCCCAGTTGCCTCACTAAGAATAAAATAAAAAGAAATAATGTGCAGACAAGATGCCCTTGGGAAGACCCATTTGCAAGGGACATGTCAGGCTGCATTCTCCAACTGCTGATCCCCAGGAATCTTGTGATACAATGAAATGAGGAGTGTGGGGGGAAGTGGGGCAGCGTGGCAATTATATATATTTCATATGAATTTGCTTCTGTAGAAATGAGTCAACTAGTAGTTCTGAAGAGAAGAGAGAAGATGCTGGAGTCCAACAGAGGGGACAACCAAATTCTGAACAGACTCTCAGAAGAACTCCTGAAAAATAAAGGCTATTAACAAATGGCCTTTAATAAAAATAAAAGCCATTCTCCAAAGAGAAATATGGGATGGACACCACCAGTAACAAAGAACCCGCAGCTTAGCAAAAGGGACTTATCAGGCTTTTTTTAAAAAGTAGATTTAAAGAAAAGTTTCCTTCTATCACACTTACCAAACATAATGGATAATTTTGCCAAAAGTAAATTGTGAACTTAGCTATCAGGGTTTTCAAATTAAGGTTTTATCCTTGCTTGAGCTAACTTTGCCCCTTTTCTCCCTTTACACACCCACAAGTGAGCCATAGCTCAAAACATAACCATTTTGGGAAATGAGATTTAGAAACTCCTCCATTCAATTAATTTCAAACCAGAGTGGAAATCTGTCACCACTGGGCACATGTCGATAATAACCCCTTATCTCAACTAGAGTTCTCTGCCATCTGTCCCAGTTCCTAGGCCCTTCCCAGTTTTTGGATAAGGTTTTTCCAACACCTCTCCTCTGGGATGAATAATTCCAACTTCTTTTCAGCCAAAACCTTCCTATTGTGGCAATGTCATTTGGAAAGTTCTATTCTTTAATGTGTGGGCTCAGCAAAGGGGGAGGGCTCAAGTCTCTCCAGATTCTCTTCTCTTTTAGCCGGGGATGTGCTTACAAGGAAGTCTTACCTAAAGTGTGTTTGGCAGGAAGAACTATCGAGGCTATCTCCCCAAAGAGAAAGTTCTGTGTTCAATTTCTCCCCCACATAGGGCCATTATCATTTGTTCACTTGCTACATTAAAGCATAGTTCAGCAGCTATCACTTCTTACCAATAAACCACTTGGATGAAAGCTTTCTTATATTCTAACAGAAACCAATCTGCATGATCCCAAATTAATTTGCATCTCACACACACCCATGACTCAGTAAGACCCTCTCTCACATTGGTCCATCACGGAGCTAGTTTTCCTGATTGCTGAGTAGCAAATAGCTCATGTCAAACATCCCCTCCTCTTGGTAACTATGGTTATAGAGATGGATGAGTTTATTTTTGATTGCATCAAAGACCTATAAGGTAGGCAAACAATATTGAGAATACTCATTTTAGGAAGGTTCAATAGTGGTTGTGATTTGTCCAAAATCGTCACACTCACACACACAATGTCAGGACAGGACCTAGTTCTCAGTCTTGTGCTCTTTCCAGTATCACACCTTCGAGACTTTAACCCCGGCCTCATAGCTATTATGCAGCAGAAGTAGCCCTAAGCCTTGCAGGTTTTCTGACTCCAAATCCAGCATTGACATGAAATATTAAAGCGGGCAGGACAAGACCAAGACTTGCCCAAGCAGATTTCACTATTCTATGCTGACGGCCTGACAGTACCTCTCCTGGCCATTTCCTCAGGTCGTATTGATCCTGCTGCTACAATTCTACCTTGTACCTGAGCCATTAACCTAACCCTCATCACCTCTCACTAGACTATCACCACAGCCTCTTAACTGGGCTCCTTGCTTCCAGTCTTTGGCCCCTTTCCTATCCATCCTCCTCTCGGCTGTCAGGCCCTGGTATGACCATGACATTCCCCTGCTCCATGAGCTCCATGGCTTCCTTGTCTCTAAACTCCCAAGCTTGGCATTTAAAGCTCTTCTGTCTCATTCACCATTTATTTTTCACAAATGCCTCTTTTCAGATGAACAGAATTTCCCAGCCCCCACCTTGGGCCTTGCACAGACTGGCCCTGTACCTGGAATGTTCTCCCTCCTCTCCTGTCTCTTGGACTCTCAGCTCAGTTGCCATATACATGAGGCCTTTCCTGATTCCCCCAGTTGTCTCTGCTTCTCCCTCCCCTCCACCCACCAGATGTGTGTGTGTGTGTGTGTGTGTGTGTGTGTGTGTGTGATAGGCCCCCTGGAGATGGGGAATGTTTCATTTTTGTCTTTGTATGCCCATGCCTGGTCATAGTAGATGCTCAGTTAATGCTTTTTCAAGTGAACTGACTTAATCATATTAACAATTTCTCCAAGTGAAATCATCCAAGGCAGTTTAAGAGAAATGTGTTTTAAACCCCACACATTCTTCATATTGAAATCAAGAATAGTTTTATTTAAGAATTGGAAAGAATAATCAATATCTGTGAAAGAAAATTCATTTAAAAATATTTAAATAAACATTTTCTTCATGTAAAAAGAAGAGTAGAATAATTACTCCATTAATTGAATACATCCTGGGTCTGGGGTGGGCTTCTCCAGGTGGATCCTGGTAAAAACAGATGTCCCTAACCCATCCCAAGTGATCAAGCCTTTGTAGGAGCAGGGAAACAGTAGAACAATGACACAGCTTCCCCCTATGGGAGAAACACTCAGATTTTTAGAGCATCCCTAACTTAGTACAAAAGCCACATAGAATAAGAGCTCAGAAACGACCCCAGGCAGTAAGTAACAAAGTGCCAAGGAGGGACAGTGGTTTACTGGACTCATTACTGAGAGCTGATTGCCTATGGTGAGTTGGGGCTAAGGTTTCATCGAGCCTTAAACAAAGATATTTGTATTAATAACCTATAGGTTTAGGAATATATTTCTATATATACTTTTCCCCCCTCATTCAGAAATCTAGCTGAATTAGGAAGAATATTATGTAAATGGCGGGAAAGACAGGACCAATAAAATTGACTACCTTTTAGGCATCAGCAGCAATTTGTACTAAGGAACAGTCAGATCCATGTCATCATTTACTGACCTTGTAAAAACAGATTTGGCTCCTAGTACCACTCATTCCCTGTAAACTCAACCCAACCTGATGCACTGAGGAGTCCTGTGAGTGGCCTCCAGGCCGGCTGAAGAAATGCTGCTCCATTTTACACAGCTGTGTGCCCAAGTCTCACAGGACCCTTTTTCTGGGTAAGAATATATATATATATCCATTTAAAAACTTTGAAATAGAAAAAAGCATCTCCTGCCACTTTATTATTTAGAAGGAATTAGTGATGTCAACTTTAAAGTGAATGCCAGAGAAGCAGTGAACTTATCCATCTAATTTTCTGTACTGTACACAGTTATTGCTAAGTTTATATATTGTAAATGAAACTGAAGCTCATGATATCAGATGGAAGTCACACGTACTCAAATCCTGCCCTCAAATATTTTTGTGTTCTCCCCAGATGTCATTGCTGACGTCTGCCCTGGTTAAGGTAGAACTGATTTTTCATCCGCTCCCATGGGAATGCCATCATATTTTTCTAGAAACCAGATAATGAAACACAGTATCCAGGGCAGCTGAATAGCAGCAAAATGTCACAGTGCAACCTTAGGACCTGGCAGTCTACGGTAGCATGGGATTGGGGCTTGGTCAAATGAAGATAATGCACTTGGGGATCTAAGAGGATGAGTAAATAATTACACCCTGATACCTGTGTAGCCTTCTGGTCCATGAAACACGGGTATAGTAATTAGCCTGCCCCCCAAGAGCACATGCCACAGTAAAAGCTGTTGAAGGACAAAACATGTGGCCTTCAAAAAAAGAAATGGAATTCTGGATTTGGTCCTTGCTGGGTTCAAGCAAAGAAAAATCCTTCTTCAAGGGCCTGGAGAATAACGATCTTTCACAGAGTACGCAGTTCTAAGAGCAGAATCTGCTCAGCTCGGCATAGTTTGGAGAAGAACAAGGTAGGAATTAACTTAAGGGGAGCCACTAATTAAGTGCACATCATTTTACCACCAAGGGCCAAAGGGCTGCTGCAAAGAACCCCAACGCCCACCAATTCAGCAAGCGACTTTTTCTTAAACTTATCTCAAGCTTGTAACTAGAACAAAGACTGAAAGTCCAGCAATCATCCATGCAGTCCTACCAGCAAGTTTTCCTAACAGTAATCAAAGAACTTGTAAAGCCTCTTTGGTATATAGGAACAGAAAATAAATTAAGCCATGAAACCTGGAAATAAGTAACATTTCTAAATTGGTAAGACCCAAGATGCTTTGAACATACATTTTAGGTCTGTGTGTATAATGGGTACACACATTCATTTTCTCTATTTTGCACAGATTGTAGTTTTCTCTTACACAACATCTCTCTCATTCATCTGAGTTAAAAATGTGTAAGAGACATTCTTTCTTATGAATCCTCACAACACCCCTGTGAGGTAGGTGTCATTATCCCCACATAGCACGCAGGGAGATTTAGGCACAGAAGGGTTACGTGACTTTACGCAAGGCCTCTTGGTGAATCAGTGGTAGAAACGTGCTCTACCCACTGGCCCCAGATGCCTTCACATTCGTAGCTAGCTAGTGTCACTTGGAAGGATCTCACACCCAGATTAAACTCTGTATTGATTCCAGAATCCAATAGGCATTTTACCTCTTAAAGCTTGTACATCTGACTTGTAAAACCAATCATTTTCCCTGCACTTGGGAAACAACAAAGAGGATCCCAGGTGGGATCATAAAATGGATTTTCATATGAGCGAACTCAAATCTGTATTAACGTATCATCAAATGCGAAAAATCATGAAGTACACTGGAATTTGAAAAAGAGAACCAAGAAGTGGAAGTTAACAGTTTCAGATTGTAAATTTTGGATGAAATGCCAGAAGTACAGCCGATAGGCCGGCAGGCGATAAAAGGGGTGAGTAATGGCCAGCAGGGTTTCTCAAAAGGTCTACGAAGATAGTTTGCTGTTCCCTGCTCCCCCTTTCTGACAGCAACAAAAAGAGGTCCCAATACTGGGCAGTCTTTCACTTCCCACAAACTTCACCTTTGGTGAAGGAATAAAAAGTAGGAAACCAATCTTCCCACAAAGGTCATGGAGGGTCTCACTGGATTTGGGGAAGTTGCTTGTTACAGTGGATTTAGCACTGTAGGGAAAATTTGCAATTTTAAAGTGTTTGCAATCACCTTAAGACAATCTAAAATCATTTCAAAATGTTAAGTTCCCACACCTATTTGCTGCCAAATATAAATGTGAAGATTAAAAAAAAATCAAATGAGTGAATAACATTGCTACTAAAAAAAAAAAAGGACGGAAATGGAGAGGGCCAAAGCATCTTATAAGCAACGTTTTCAACATGGTACCGATGCTCATGCACTTGAAAAGGAGAGAAACAAAGAGGTTAGAGCAGTGAGGTCTGGGCTTGCCTGTTAAATCAAGTTTTACAATCGAGTTTCTAATGCAAATAAGAAGCACTTATATCCCCCCCACCCCACCCGACACACCCACACCTTTTTGCCTTTTTCATAGCATCACTATAAGGAAGCAGTTAATCCATCGGGGTTGCAGAATCTTCTCTATGGTGTCTCCACAGCCGGCAACTCTCTGGTGGGCAAAGGAGACACTGTGCAGCTTGTCACCATGTTCTGCTCTGAGGAACACTACCAGAGGAGATGGAGTCACTTCCTCCTGGTCTGCTTTGAGCTACAAGTCCTACCTGCCACAGCTAGGGATGAGGAGGGATCTCTGCATCTTTTGGGATCCATTTCAAGGCCTTCTGATTGCCCAGCCCTTAGTGTTCCTCCACAGCATAATTGGTAAAATACAAAATGACTACTAGAATCCTTCACCTCCTACCAGAAAAGCACATGTGGCTCCTTTCCTCACATGGCCCAGAGCTGGAGTCACCTCCTCCAGAGACACCATCACCCTTCATGCAGCGCCTCAGCTTAGAGTTCCACCTTTACTCCTTTAATAAAAGGTAGGCCTGTGGGCACCTTCTTTTTATATTCTAGATATTCTTCTCCAAAAAAGTGGATTAATGAG